ACTGCACTCTAGCCAAGGTGACAGAGGGAAATCCTGTCTCAAAACAAAACTCAGCAACATTGTTCAGTAATCTTCTTTTCAAAATATAACTCACATATGGAAAAGTTCACAAATCATATAGCCTAGTGGATTATCACATCTCAAATATACCCATGTAACCAGAACCCAGATCAAGAAATAGAACATCCAGAGGCTTGGAAAGGGTAAAGAGGGGGGATGAAGAGAAGCCGATGAATGGGTACAAATATATAGTTTGATAGAAGAAATAAGACCTAGTACTCGATAGATCAGTAGCATGACTATAGTTTATAATACTCGATTGTACATTTCAAAAACAGCTGGAATATAATAATTAGAATGTTTCTAGCATAAAGAAAGGGCAAATATTTAAGATGACGATGTCCCATATATACTGATTTGATCTTTACAAATCATATGAATGTATTATCACATATACCCCAAAACTATGTCCATCTATTATGCATCAATTAAAAAATTGCTTAAGCAAAAAAAGAGAAAGAAATAGAACACGATGAGCACTTCAATAACATCCCTTGTGCCCCCTCCAAATTGGACTCCCTCCCTTTCCCACACATGTGACTACTGTCCTGACCTCTAGCACATAGATTATTTTGCCTCTTTTTGAACTTTATGTAAATATATATAAATGTAATTATACCATTTGTATTCTTTTGTTCCTGACTTCTTTCACTTGGAATTATGTTTGTGGGATTTATCCATGTTGTGTGTGGCAGTATTTGTTCATTCTCCTTACTGCAAGGCATTCAGTTACATGAATATGCCACAAGCTGGATATCCATTCTACTGCTGATGGACATTCGAGTGTTTCCAGCTGGGTGCTACTACAAATAATGTTACTATGAACATTCTTTTAGATGTCTTTTGGTGCACATATGTATGCATTGCCATTGATTTAGGGTGGTATTTTTGGTCTTAGGGTATGTATATGTTCAGCTTCAGTAAAAACTACAAAGACTTTTCCAGCAAAAATTGCTAATTTCACTCCCATTGACAGTGTGTGAAAGTTCCAGTTCACAACATTCTACATTGTTAATTCTTTTACATTTAGTCAATCTGATAGATATGCGGTATTACTTTATCACAGATTTAATTTTTATTTCCCTGTTAACTAATGAGGTTGAGAGACTTTTGCTATTTTTATTGGCCATGGGGCACCTTTTTGTGTGAAGTGTTAATTCATGCCTTTTGCCTATTTTTTTTCTCTTGAGTTATCTGTCTTTTTCTTATTGATCTGAAAGAATTCTTTATATATTTTGAATAAAAGTCAGCTTCTGTTTATATGGTTGCAAATATCTTCTTCCATACTGTGACTTGCTTTTTCACTCTTAATGGCGTCTTTTGATGAGCAAAAGTTTGATATTACCCTGCTGATGCATCTTCTCCTTTATTGTCAGTGCTTTTTTTATGTCTTATGTAAGAAATCTTTCCTATTCCAAGGCCATTCACATTTTATCCCATGCTACCTTCAAAAACTTTTTATTTTACTTTCCACACTTAGTGCTACAATCTATGTGGAATTTATTTTGTGTATGATGTGCAGTAAGGGCCAAGATGTACCTTTTTCCACCTGGCTATCCAGTTGTCTTAGCACCATTTATTGAAAAGATCACCTTCTCCCCACTGCTCTGCAGAACATCCTTTACCATAAATCAAATTTGCATATATTTGTGGAACTTTTCTGAACCCTAAACTTTTCAACTGGCCCATTTTTCTTTCCTTGCAATGGTCCATTGGCTTAATTTCTGTAGCCACGTACGTCTTGATCTCTGGTAAGGTAAGGACTCCAGTTTTGGACTGCTTTCTCAAGACTGTCTGGAATATTCTTGGCCATTTGCACTTCCATATAATTTTTAGAACCAGCTTGTCAATATCAGAAAGAGCATGCTAGAATTTTAATTTAGGTTGCACTAAGATCTATAGATCAATTTGAGGAGAATTGACATCTTTAACAATATTGAGTCTTACCAGTCCATGAACTAGTATTTAAGTAAAGTTTAAGTAAGTTTAATTGCACATCAACTCTGTGCTGATCACTGTGCTGAGTTCAGATGTGGTTCTTGCCCTTGAAGGACTTACAAACGTGTAATCACATAAACACAAAATATAGTGTAATGTGACAATCTCCTCATTGATAATAATAAGAGTTAATACTATACACCAAGGCATGATTTTAAGGACTTTACATATATTACTTCATTTACACCTCACACTGATGTTTTGAGATAAGTGCTGTTACTATGCCCACTATGTAGGTATTTTTTAATTTCAATAGAATCCAAGAAAAAGAGCACCCAGGTCTTAAAGGGGAAGTCAGAGGAAACATACACAAAAGGTGGAAATTTAGCTGATTTCTGAAGAAGTTTGCCAGGAATGGAGGAGGTGCAGCATTCCAGGCATATATATGAGTAGCCTGTGAAAAATACTGTAGGGTAAAATGATGCGGCTTTTCAGGAAACTGCCAGTGGGTGAATCCCAGGGCTGAAGGGCAGTGCAGCCGGGGAATAGGAATGTGGTTGGCGAGGCTGGAGAGGCAGAGTCCGAGGGCCTTTTGGTCTATGGAGTTTGGGCTTTATCATGAAGGCAATGGCTGTGGAGCAGGATTGTCTTCGGTTGGGTTCCGCAGAAGCTGACTGTATTCATTTCCTAGGGCTGCTGTACATATTAATACTACAAATTGGTGGCTTAATGTGTTCACTCATAGTTCTGCAGGCTAGAAGTCTGAATCAAGGCATCCAGCGTGGTGTTTCCTTCTGGAAGGCTCTGAGGGAGAGTCTGTCCCGTGCCTCTCTCCCAGCTTCTGGCGGTTGCCAACAATCCTTGGCGTTCCTTGGCTTGTAGACGTGTCACTCCAGTCTTTGTCTCTGACAGCACAGGGTGTTCTTGCCTGTATGTCTCTGTGTCTTCTCTTATAAGGACACCAGTCATACTGCATTTAGGGCCCACCTTAATTCAGTGTGACCTCATCTGAGCTAATTACATCTGTGAAGACCCCATTTCCAAAGAAGGTCACATTCCCAAGTACCAGAGGTTAGAACTTCGACATATCTTTTGGGAGGCACATTTTAACCCATATAACACAAAGCCTCAGGTGAGGACTTGGGTGCAAGTGATTTTTTTAAGGAAGTGTTTCTAGGGGAAACCATAAGGGAGTAGGGGAAGTAAGACAGGGATGAGGAGGAAGCCCTGCCAGCCTGTGATCCCGGGCAAGTTTCGGATTGACCTTTCGGGGCCATTTTGGAGTGTAAAGTGTCCCTCAGAGCAGTCCCCACCTGACACCAGGGAGCTGGACCTTTCATATTAGGCTGAGTAGGCTCCAGTAACCCAAAGACAATCTTTCAGAAAAAAAACCGCAGGTGCTGGCCATTGGAGGCAAAAGGACAAATTAGTGCCAGGGTCACATTAAAATGATAAAAAGGCATTTAAGGAAATCTGGGTGAAGTATCCTTACTGTTTTCTGCTTTGTCCTCTGCTCCCCTTCCCCCAGAATTGAGTATAATGGCCACTCCTGCCCTAGAGACCCTTAGACTGCCTTGGGCTGTTTGTGTGTCTGACCCTCAGAGATCCCAGCTCTGTCTCCTGATACCCTAACCACCATTTTTTGTTTAATGCTGCTGAGTACCACACTTTTCTTACTCTTTATTTTTTTCCTCATTCTTTCTTCCTTACCTTCTGTCTGATCTTTTGTAGACATCAGTAGCCAATCAGAATGCTCTTTTACTTTTGTGGGATGAACTGGCCAATCACAGCATGACACTTGCAGTCTTTATGTCTTAAAGCTCTTCTCGGTGGTATCATTGTGTTGGTGGGTCAGGGACCACTGCTACGCTATCCAAGATGGTGGCTTTATGTTTTGGAATTTTGGGGGTTCATCATCAGGACTAGAACTAGTTTTAGGATTTGGAAGACTAAATGCTCCTCCCAAACAGGAGGTTGTTTATCACAATCACATACATATTATATGTTAAATGAATTGATTTTTAAAGTTTAAAAATTAATGATTTGTCAACACTTGTGTAAGATCCATATATATATTATTTGGTATGTAAAGCCATGGGTAGAGTGTTAAACTGGAGAGAGGGGGCCTTCAGTTCTGGCCCTAAGTCAGCCTCCGATGGTCTTATGACCCTGAGTATGTCTGTCGGCCTCCCTGTGTCTTGCTTTCCTATCTGTGAAATTGGAGAGCTGAATTATAAGATACTTGAGATCCCTTGAAGTTCTAATAGTCTATAATTGCATTTCTGAAGTCCAGAATCTCAGAACTTTAGCACTTTAATGCAGGCAGTTAATATCTTACTGTGCCTAATTTGTAAATTAAACTTTATCATAGATATGTATGCATAGGAAAAAACATAGTATATATAGGGTTGGTACTATCTCTGGTTTCAGGCATACGTTGGGGTTCTTGGAACGTGTTCCCTGCAGATAAACAGGAACTACTGTATATTATATCTGTGCCTTCCCCAGGCAGAACTTGGGCAGAAGCTGACCTAACTTCAAGGGAGGCTGGGAAATGTAGTCTAGCTGAGTTTCTACAAGAAAAAAATGAAACTTGTTCTGGAGAACACACTCTAGTCTCTGCCACAAAGACCATCCTACAGGAGTTTGTGCTGTGAAGAGCCAGATTTTTCTTGGGCCAATCTAATGGACATATAATATTAGATAATTATCAAGATTGGGGTTTCCAACCAGGGACTATCTTTATCAAATTGGCATCCCTGGTTGGTTCAAGAATTCCTCAAAAAGAGAGCAGCTCAGGCATTTAGCAGGTTCTGAAAGCTAAGAAGGAGCTGAGTGAGAGGGTGATAGTTCTCTGCTCAATGGACGAGCCTTTCCCACTTTCTATTGCCCCTCTGACCCACAGGTCTGGGATATGGATGGAGAACTCAGGTTCATCCTGTTTGACAAATGGAAGGCAGCTGATTCCTATGCTTAAAACCTGCTTTCTTCTCTCTCCACAGTGACGCTTTCAGCTGCTCCTCCCTCTTACTTCAGAGGATTCACACTAATTGCCCTCAGAGAGAACAGAGAGGGTGATAAGGAAGAAGACCATGCTGGGACCTTCCAGGTAAGACCCCACCTACGCTTATCCCGTGGCCTTCCATGGCCTGGTTACAGGTGGAAACCCGGCAGGTGTAAGTGTCTCTGGTAGCTTCCCATACAGTCCCTTTGACCGCTGGCCAGGTGGGACAAGCCCAGTTGAACACCCATAATGGAGTGGGCAGCAGTGCTGCAAGCCTATCTGAGCAAGGCTGGCCACCAGGCAGGGCTTGCTCCGTGCCAGCAGATCACGGTGTTCTCTGAGCCACAGTGCCCTTTGGCAGCACGCAGTCCTGCGTGGGGAGAGTGCTGGGAGCCCTGGCTCGGCCCAGCTGTGTTCCCTGCACAGGCATTTCGTGATTGACTGGTAACTCTCAAGTATAAACGGAACAAGAGCTCAGGACCGCCAGACTGGAGGGAGTTCAAAGCACAGGAGAAGGACTATTAAGGGAATGTAGAGATTGATTTATGAGGGAAGATTAAAAGAATTAAACATGCTTTGCTTGGCTAAATGAACAGGGCCAAGTTTAAGAGGTGGTAATGGTCTTTAAATGTCAGTCCTTGCAGAGCAACCTCCTCAAGGGGAGGCTTCATTTGACTTGGTACAAAAGGGCAGAGTAAGACGAAAGTGGGTCAAGAAAAGAAAGGGAATCTCAGAGGCAAAGGGCCCTGACAGTGAGTCATATTTCACTGTGGAATATTATTCCAAGGGAAGTGGTAAGGAACATCGCCCCCTTTCAGAGGTTTAAAAAAGGGCCGGCAAGTTGTCAGAACATGTCCCAGAAGGACTGGGGCGATCCGAGGAGGAGGCTTGGCCAAATTTGCTGTAACTATTTCTCATCTCAGATTTCCATTGTTCTGGAATTCAGTTTTAGCTGGCATTTGCAAGCTAAGAGGGGGGAAAAAAAAGCCTCAGAAAGAATACTTAACACTCATGACTGGCTGATGGGGACTCTGGTACAATTTGTGGGTTCTACCGAGGATCCTGCCCCAAAATACCTTCCCCGTCCAAGGACATCTTCTAATCCCTTGTGGCCAGGTTGTAATTTTGAATCCTGTGATTAAAAAATTGTTTTTACTGTTGTCTGGGATTCTAGACTTTTGGCCTAGTGAGACTTAATTCCGTGTTCATTGTAATGTCCTTCCATGGCAAGGAACCTCCTGGCATGTACCTGAAAGAGTGACCCAATAATAATAATAACAACAGCCAGTATTTGTCGGATGCTTACCATATGCCAGGCACCATGCTAAGTGCTTTACTTTGTCTTTGTTTATCTTAGTTAGTTAGCTTACTTTATTTTTGTTTAATTCTCAAACAACCCTAGTGCATAGGAACCATTATCCCCATTTTTAGACTTAAGAGTCAGGCCTAATGGAGATATGGCTTCTTCTTTTTTCTTTTTTCTTTATTTTAGCGTATTATGGGGGTACAAGTGTTAAGGTTACATACATTGCCCATGCCCCCCTCCCCCCTCGAGTAAGAGCTTCAAGCATGTCCATCCCCCAAACGTTGCGCATCTTACTCATTGTGGTTGTATTCTTTTTTTAGTGCTTGTGTTAGTCCATTTTGTGCTGCTATCACACAATACCTCAGACTAGGTAATTTATAAACAATAGAAGCGTATTGGGCTCACAGTTCTGGAGGCTGGGAAGTCCAACATTAAGGTGTCGGCATCTGGGAGGGGCCTTCTTGCTGCATCATCCCATGGCAGAAGGGCAAGAGACCTAGAGGGGGCTGAACTCACTTTTATCTCAAATCCACTCCTGTAATCATGATGCCAATTCACACACAAGGGCAGAGCCCTCGTGACCTAATCACCTCTTATTAGGCCCCTCTTCCCAACACTGTTGCACTGGGAATTAAGTTTCCAACTTTGGGGGACACATTCAAACCATAGCAGCGCTGTTCTGGTTTAATTCAACAAATTGAATTAAACTCACTGTGGTATGTGCCCAGCTTAATTCTTGTCCTTGCAGCTGATTGGTGAATACAGGGCCCTGCTCATAGGGGGACGGCGAGTAAATATTTGCTGAATTAGTGAGTGACCAAATGACTCTTTCTGCTAGTGTCTACAACTCAGTCCTGTTTGGGATGTTTCGGAACTCCTAACTCTTCATGCATTCTTCCTTATTCCTTCTCTCGGTGCTTCTGACATCCTTTCTTGCTACACGGCAGTGGTTCTCGGAGTGTGGTCTCTGGGCCGGCAGCATCAGTGCCACCTGGAAACTTGTTAGAATGCAAAGTCTCAAGCCTGCCCAGACTGACTGAATCAGACGCCCTGAGGGTGGGGCCCCACAACCTGTGCTTTCACAGCATGCAGGTTGGAGAACCATTGTTCTCCAACCAGCCACAGACCAGCCCATCTAACTGGAGATCCTCCATCACCATGTCAGCACATCCGTCTGTTCCCAGCTACCCTCTCATGGGTTCCAGCAGCCCTAGAGGGATCAGAGTGGAGTAGAAATATAGAAATGCCAAGCATACAATCATTATTAGACAGTTAATACTTAACATTGCGCTGTGTGCCACATACTGCCCTGAGTAGTTTACGTTTACTGATTTAATCCTCAGAGCAACACGATGAGGTAAGCATCATTATCCTGTTTTTCACAGATGGGGAACTTGTGGCACAGAACAATTAAGTAACTTTCCTAAGGCTGCCCAGCTCTGAGTGATAAAGCTGGGGTTGAAACCCAGGCGGTCTGGCTGCAGGTCCCTGCTGTGACCACTGTGGGCACTGCATCTCACTGTGTACGTGTTAAGTGGAAAATGAGGGCCCGCTATGACTTCTCGATGATGGCAGTCTTTGTGCCAGGTGTTTTATGTGCATTATTCTACTTAATTCTTGTAGCAACCTTGGGAGGTCAGTATTGTTATACCCATTTTTCCCGTGATGAAACTGAGTCTCCAAGAGGTTAAGTAAATTCACATCTCTAGGGGCCAAATGCTGTGCCAGTTTTTTTCTCAAACTTCATCTCCTTCCTGCTGCCTTGTCCTGCCCTTGTGCCATGAAAATGCACACTGCACTGGGGTTCCCATTGTTTCAGAGGTCAGAGGGGAAGGAATCATAATGTATGCCCCTCAGTTTACCTCTCCTGCTCCTAAGAGATGCAGACCCCATGCCTGTCCCCTCCAGCTCTAGCATGAAAGTGTTTTCTCTCTGTGGCAAAGCTGTCATCCTTGGAGTTGTTCATGTGTTCGGCAGCATTTGTTGAGTGCCCCTAGGTGCCAGGCGTGGAGTTAGGCATTAGGGATACAGCAGTGAGAAAAACAGAGATGAAGCTGTCATCATCCCTCAAATTGACCTCTGTTGCTGACAGGTGTGGCAGAAAGTCCACAAGTCATCCATTGGAATATAAGGAGACAATCAGAAATGACAAATGCTATCATCATTTAACAAGTACTTAGATATAGCTTTATGTAACACCTTCACTCCTAGTATGACAACTTTGAGGATTTAACAATCACCACGAAATTCGAATGTTCTTTTTTTGATACATAATATTTCACACAATTGTGGGATACATGTGATATTTTGTTATGTATATAGACTGTGTAATGACCAAATCAGGGTATCTATGACATCCATCGGTTTGAGTATTTATCATTTCCATGTGTTGGGAACAATTCAAGTCCTTTCTTCTAGCTCCTTTGAAATATACAATACATTGTTGTTAACCATAGTCATTCAATATTCTTTAAATTTTGTTAAAGATTACATTTCCAGCTCTAAAGTGACTTTGAGGGTTATTTTGCTTCCAAATGAGTGAGCCCTTACACGGAGAACACAGACTCACCAAGTGCAAACACAATGAAAACAAACTTAAATGCTGCCTTCATACCTCTTTAGACTTAGTGGGAAGGGCAGGGGGCTTCCTGGTATGGGGGGGGAGGGAGGGTTATAGTTCCTGCCACTCCCAAGACAGTCCAAGGAGAAGGGGGTGAGGTCCCCTGCTCTGGCTCCAGCCGCAGGTTCCAGCATAGCCGCATTGGCACACTGGGGTATCTGCCTCTGGCTGCCAGAGAGGGGAGAGACACAGAGTTACTCTTTGTTGAGCTAACTGGGTTAATTCAAAGTATAATAGCAAGATATTCAGGGGCTGGACTGCCGGTAAAAGAGTAAATTACCAATTCTTAAAACTTGTATTACTAGCTGGGCATGGTGGCATGCACCTGTAGATATTTATTTCCTTAGATATCGGGGCAGCCTCATCTGTTTACTGTAGGAAAATACTGTCGTTCCCTACATGCGACATAGAGTAAAGAGACCTGAGTAGAAAGAACTATATTGCAGTATGTGTGCAAATAAGAAAACAATCATTTACAGAAAATGGGGAGTGAGTGCTGATTCGGGAGGACAGAAAGGACATTGACAGAGATGACAACTTTTGAGCTGTGTTTTAGGGTGGTTGAAGTTTGCAACTGGACAAAGAGGAGGAAGAGTGCATGAAGACTATTCTATTCTTGCCTCACAGCTCTATTTTAAAACGTGCCACATTTTAATGTTTCATTGTCTCTTCTTTGACAAGTACGTAGAGCCTCACAAGGGCACCAGTATAAGTTTTCTTAAATAAATAAATGAAGCAGAGGATAAATGACATGCTGTGCCTGCCCCTTCCCTTGAGGAACTCACTTGGTGTTGACATGCCTCTGCGGAGCTGTGATGCTAAAAGAACAATCAAAAGAATACATTATGTTATAGACGTGATGTTAGTATCTCTTGCTTGACGCTTAGTTTTCTTGCTTAAAATCGCCATGTGCAAATCATTTGTAAGAAGAGCAAGAGGCAGTGTGCACTGTGAGTGGCCGGGATGGATGTTGGGTCCTAGGGCTCCCAGGGCCCCGGTCTCTGGTGCCTGCTCCCAGAAGAGACAAAAAGGCATTTTCCTTCTAGCAAGCCCTGAGTCTGGGACCCAGATGCCTTGTTGAGACTGAAGCATCTCTCCTTTTAACAGAGCACACCTGTGTTTTGTGTTAGACAATTCAGAAAAGGATAAAAACAGAGCATGATGAAGAAATAAAAATAT